TTAAACATTTCATTTTGAGATTTCCTCTAAGGAAATGGTAGAACATTTATAGTTTGGTTCTTTTTTGAAAAGTGACCAGAAACAACATCCGAGGTTACATGTTAATTGTGTCTCAATTATTCTTCATAAGTGTTCTCAGTTTATGAAGAAAAGCCATCCTTTTACAAGCACCAGTTCTACAAAAATCAATCTGCCATTATACAATTCAAGCTTAGTTCCTGCACACTAACATATCGTCAATAACATAAGTTCTGCTGAATAAATTAGGATTTCAATGACACCTGTGCAACCCCATTACCTTCAATGGGATTGCACAGGTGTAAACTGACCAGAAGTTAGTAAATAATTCTGTTGGTAAAGGAGAAATAGAATCCAGTTCTGTTTCTCTGACGTATACAGACTCTGAAGGGATATAAGAATAGATAAATTTGAAAAGTAAAGCTCTCACCTACATTGTTAGAATAATTTTATACCGATATTAAAACGTCACAGTCCTTTCAATATTAAAATAGAATGCGAACTACCTTGTGCATTATATTAAACTCCCGAGATATTCAATTTTCAACAAGATGAGCATTTCTGAGCATCTGTACACAGCCGTTTAAATTAGAAGTTATATTTTCAAATGTGTGTCGTTGTTTATGGTGTAATGACCTTCTCACAATGAGCTCCTTCAGATTGCAGTGGTCAGTCACATGGATCCATTTTTTCATTAAATGTATAAACACGGTGTCTCCCAAACAAAATACAGAGGCTCTCTCTTACTTCAAACCCCATTAAGCCAATTTTGGATTTGTCTTCAGCTGTGCATTAACATCCTGTTTATCCAAATGAACCCCATGAACCTTACATAATTCATTCTATTTCAGTGACGTGGAGTCTACTGTATATAAGCTAAAAAAGGTCTGTAGTGTCATTTGTATGATTACTTGCAAGTTTAACTTCTTACAACTTAATTATATCAAAAAATTTAAAAAAAAGAAAATTTATGGACTACCTGCTTTGGCTGCCTTTGAAATATTTGAGCTTTTAACCAGCTTTCAACTTCTTCAATCTTCTTCTTATGTACAGCAAGCTCATTCTAGAATGATGAGAAAGGATACAAGAAATGCATATAAGCTCTGATTTATGAGCTTTTGATACAGTTCAAGAATACTATTTATGTTTGTAAAAATGCCAAACAAGGTGCTTGTATATTAAAATGACCTAGCCACCCTTAACATACTTTAAATATATCCTAAGCACAGCAATTAAAAGTAATCCATCACAAATCTCCTCCTTTAACAACTCCAATTCCCCACGAATTTTCCAAATGCCAAGAATCAAAGATGAGCCCTGAAACAATCACTGAAGGAGAGTTGCTTATTATTTACATACATACCAACAAAGCTATTTCAGAGGTGGATTATTTTAAAAGCATAAGAACGTTAATTTACCACTCCACAGTAGTTCATACCACAGGGTTCCTCATTCTGAGGGTAATAAGTTAATGCACACACTAACATATTTGAAATGCACCACTAAAAATGCAAGTTCTGTGGATAAATAGCTGTGAAAACCTGAGTTTGTTCAGGATCTTCTCTACAGATAGTTGGCAGAGTCAACTAATCATTCAAATTTTGCACTGGTGCAAGACAATCTAACATTTAGAAGCTACACTCTGGGTAGGACTAATTTGCAGAAATAGAATAATTCATAAGTTACACAAAAATTATTTTGTATCGCTTACCACATCTAACACTTAGAATACTTCTTGTACCTGTGTTCCTGGTTTGTATTTATCCACCCATGGTTCATTTTGAGACTGGCTTTGATTTTGTTTAGAGTGATCACAAATGTGATCTATTGAAGATGACTTTCCTTTGATTCTGGCCAGAACCTTGTTCTTGCTACTTTCTGGCACAGAGGAATGATCTTTTCTCTTCTGATGCTGATTAGCCTCCCCAGATGACTTCACAAGAAGGGTACTAGATAAGATATTTGTATTCCCAAAGAAATCCTCAAACGAAGGTGCCACCCAATCTGTTACCTGACAAAACATAAATTTGTGAAGGTTAATGCCAAACAGAATTTCACTTTTTTTGTGTGTGCTCTATATTCAGCTTCAGTTGATGCTGAATAACTTGGCATTATCTATCAAATATATACATTTACATCTCAAATGTTTTCAGTAACAACCAATCATTTTCCCTTATAAAAATATAATGAAATGCCATATTTGAAAAATATTTGAAGAGTAAGCTTGAATGCTTGTCCCTTTTACGAACAGAAGTTGGTCCAAAAGATCTCATTCAACATGTCCATTTAATATTTGAAAAGAAGCTCTTAGAAGTCCTCAGTAGGTACTGATAATTATAAACTAATATTGGCTTGCCCCCTTCTTACTTAAGTTCTACAATAAAAGCCTCTTATGCACCACAAGAAGCTGAACCTAAATTCCATCGCAAGGACATTGTATCACAGCAATCTGGTGCAGCACATGGGAAATTCTGGGGCACCTTCCTTTATTAAAGAGCCAAGGTTTAGAATGAGTTAAATAGGAAATGAAATAAAAAATGCAATAGCCTCTTTAGTATTTTTATATTATTCAATTTATTTTACATTGCCTCTATATTTTGAATGTTTGATATGCTGCACATTTTTGTATTTACAAATTTAAGTGTGTGTGTGTGTGGGGGGGTGAGGATAGGGGAAACAGAAGGTTTTGGCAACTAAGTAGAAAACAGTTGGGCTTTGTTAAATGGAGAGATATGGAAACTAATTTGAGATTGTGGGTCAAGCACATTTACCAGAAGTTTCTCCTACAGTGATGATCAGCAATGAAATAGCTAAGAAAGCTAACATTAAAATATTTATCTTTAGGTTTTAGATTTAATAGCCCATTGACTATTTACATAACTCAGAGCTCTTTTTCAAACTGTATGTACACTCAATGACAACACTGCAGAGTTTACATTCTGTCCACATTTTCAAGGTTATCTTCACAACCACTGGGCTAGAACCATTTTTTAAAATGAAAACTTAATTCTAAAGAACAATTCCATGGATGCGGGTGGAATCCATCACATGTTCTATAGCTGCACAATACACAGAGCCCTGCCTGAAAGAACCTAATAATAATTAATTAAATCAATATTATCCCCATCAAGAGGGTTCCTGCATACTCAGTACTCTACACAATTTTTACAAAACCAACACATATTTGCAGAGGGCTTAAAAATGTTCCACTGAGTGAAAGGGATATCATCAACTGGAAAAAGAAAATCAGACTTGTGCAATTAAAAACTACTTGAAGCTTAAAATAAAGACAAGTAACATCTAAGATTACCAGAACTGATTTTTTTTTCAGATAAATTTGTGCACTTGTCAGCATAGTGTGAATTAATAGTCAGTAATCTCTTTGATTCATGTGGATTTTTCACTCTGCATCAGTGAGAGGAAAAAAACTTTTTGTATAGGAAAATGTGTTTGGATAACCAATAGTGGCACAGAGATTAAGGAACACCTGCAGTACTTGGAAGTACTTTACATTATTATTATTAGTAGCAGTAGTATTTTAAGGCTAGCTTTCAAATTGGCTTCCTTTAAATGGCTCACTTTAAGCCACATTGATGGCAAAAGCAATATTCAGGTATAAGAAAGATGGTACAAAGCTATCAGTACTTAAATTGACCTCAGATTTAACACAAACTGTCATATAGTATAAAAAACAAATTAAGCCATTCCAAGAGAACACTGAAATAAACTCAGCATAAAAACAAGGAATATAGTGCAAATAATTTTTTGCCTCCCCCCCCCTTTCTTGCCGTCACTTAAGTTTCTGATTAAGATATAAGAGTAGGAATGGCTTGTTGCTATATCATAAATTATATTTAATTACACACACTTATATCAAGATGTGCTTGTGCTGTAGCAAGAGTAAAGCTCCACTTTACACACACAATCCAAAACAATTTATTTTTTAAAATATTTTTTATTATCTATCACCTACTTTAGTTGGCACTATCTTTCTTCTAGAAGAATTTTTTGACATCATCAACCTTTATCATTCCCATCCGCAGCGTACGACCAGTAGCACATTAAAGAAAGTAACCTGAAACTGAAAAGTGCGGGAACAGACCTTAAGAATAATCTTTTCCTTCTTGAGGAAAAGAATCTAAAGCATTTATAGCCATTAAAGATTAACTAGTCATCTAACTGAAACCTATGTGAATTACTAAGTGATATTTAAATAAATGTATATGCAAATACAAGGTTAAAAATACATCCTATCTGCTCTACAAAGGAGACTGAGAGGGGGGTGGGGGACCGAGGGCGGTTACAACCCAGCTGTAGCGTGGGCGGGACTGAGCTGCATCCCTGTAATTGGGTTATGCCCTACCCTGCCCAAGGGCAGTGACCCGGTTACAGAGACACTCAGCGTAAAGCTTTCCCTGGCACTGGCTGTAACCGTGTCCGGGCACAGTCTGGCTGTCGATACCAGCTCCCCTGACTCGCTTCTCGCTGCAGTGTACACGGGCCCATCCGTGGCTAATCAGGGGCCCCGCCTGCACCAGGCGAGGGGCCCAGTCCCGGTAAACTCAGAGCTCCCTCCCCGCTGCTGTCACGGTCCCAGACGGGTGCTGGGGCGGGCGAGCGGACAGAGTTGCTCTCTCCCCCTGTAGTTCGGGCCCGTCGCCGGGCTCGGGCGGAGATCGAGCTCGCGGGACCCTACAGCACAAACACCTGGGCACAGCGCGTTTCAGCCGCTGGGCCACCCGCTTCCGGCGAGGGGGAGGCACCAGCAGGCCAGGGGCGCGCAGCCGCCGAGGCCTCCCCGTAGCGGAGAAGAGCAGCGCAGGGAAGACCGACCCAGCCTTCTACTACCGCAGGGACCTCCCGCGCTCCGCGGCACTTAGCTGCCCGCACAGCGCCTGCCCCGCACCCTCGCCAAAGGGAGCCACCACAAACAACTCAAGCGGCGGTGGGGCAGCTGCTGACGACCTTAGTGTGCGCCGAGCCCGGAGGCTAGGGAAGGCCCCGGCAAGGTGCTCACGTGTCTCCTAGGTGACTAGTTGCTGCTTTCATCCCAACAGCCGACGAGACGCCAGACATGCGGCGGCCCAACATCCTGCTTACGGGTAAGAGACCGTGAGAGCCGTGCCCGTGCGCCGGGGCAGCGCGGGGCCGCCCCGCCGCCTGCCCTGGGCAGGCTGAGCCGCGGGTCCCCACGTTGCACATGGTCACTGAGCGAAGAGGGGTTCGCTGCTGGCCTGAGCGGTCAGTACGAGATTCATAGCGACACTGCAGCCGAGTCTGCAAATGTTCGTTTCCTTTGTCCCTGCCAGTGGGGATCTGGGAGTGGTCGTGAAACTAGGGAACTGCTTTGGGTTAAAAGAACAGGAGTACTTGTGGCACTTAAGAGACTAACAAAGTTATTAGAGCACAAGCTTTCGTGGGCTACAGCCCACTTCTTGGGTTAAGTGGCTTAACGATTGCAAAGGCTAGTGATCCCATTGCATGTTTCATTAATTTTGTTAGATCCATTATCAGCTTTCGATAGGTCACGGTCTGACGGAGGAATTTTTTTCCATCAGTTCTTTGCCGTGAATGGCAGTGATGCATTCACACAAGTAGTCTGACAACTGGCTTTCAAACTTAGGGTTTCAGAGTGTTGCTAGGACTTTACCATGACCATATGATACCAGAGTCAGTTTGGGTCAGTTTTAAATTGCATAGTGTAGAGCAGATTTCACTTTTATTTGTTGATGCCATTCAGATTTGTATTTTCTTGCCGAACTTTCTTCTCCCCCTTCTCCTCTGTTATTCTGTGGGGGTCGGGTGTTTGGTGGTGGTTATTTTGTTGTGGGGTCTTCTGGTGCACTTATCTGGCTGACTTATTTAAAGAAACATTTGTGGCCTTTAAGATCTGCACAGCTGACTTGGTTTCTTTAAATCTAAACTTTATTTTTAAGTCATTTTAACATAATTGTGTTTGTTTATCAGTGAGTTTATGGTTGTGATGTACCATAATGTATTTTTTTGCTAAAGTACTTATGTTAGGTATGATACAAATACATTATATGAATGGCATTGATTTAAATAACATATCACTTTATATAATTTGTTTTATAGGTACTCCTGGTGTAGGGAAGACTACACTGGGCAAAGAGCTTGCAGCAAGAGTAGGAGCAACATACATTAATGTGGGTGATTTGGCAAAAGAAGGTATGTTGTATAAATTATATATTTTTTTTTTGTGGGTTGATGGGCGTGATACACTTAGGAGAGCTTGTAAATAATTTCTTTTGAGATAAATACTAGACTTATGTTCATGTAAATCCTGTTAAAATAATAAGTATTCCTTGTTAAATTAATCATCTAATAGGATGCTACCATATTGACCATGTATCTGTCCTTCATACTGAGTGCATTTACAAACTACAGTTCAGACTGATGTCCACTATACACATTTTTTCTTATACTTTGCCCTGTTTTCTTTCTTTCCTCAATCTCTCCAAATGTGATTTGATTATATTTTAAGGCAAAGTCCTACCTTAGTGCTGACAAGCCAGGTTAGAATAATAGGGATATTAGCAAATGACTTCTTTTTTGACAGCCTACTCCCCTCCCCTTCCTTTTTATTTATCTTCCTCACCAGTATAAAAGCAAGAGCGTGATTTAGTGCTCAGTACTGTATTTATTTGTTCCATCTAAAGAACTAAATTATGAGAAAAATTAAGGTTGCACAATAAGGCACTCAGGAGATGCTAAAGTCAAAGTCTCGTGCATAACTTTAACTCTGCTCCCTTGAGCATAGGCATTACATTCCAGTCTAATTATGTGATATGCCATTTCTCAAATAAAAGATTTTTTTTTCCCCCTACAAACTCAGGGCTCTGTCTTGCAATCCTCATTCATGCAAACAGCCCCTCTGGCCCCTTTCCTTCAAGTGGACCCATGTGGATACAGGGGTCTGCATGGCTGACATGTGAATTGCTGGTTGAGGAAGGCTATCCCCCAGCCCTGCCCCTTCCACACAAGGTCTCGCCTCTTCCACAACTGCTGGAACCTAGAGCTCCTACACTGTGGCCGCTGGCCCTCGCCTAGGCTAGTTCCCCCAGCGTGCTGGGTGGCGTGGCCCCAGGCCAAGCCAGGGCCACTGCACAGGGGGAACCCCGAAGCAGGGAGGGCATGGGGCGGAATGGGGGCAGGGCCACACCTGGCTGTTTGGAGAGGCAGAGCCTCCCCAGCCTATGATACCCACCGCCCATGGGGGTCTGCTTGTGTAGATTCAGGTGCAAGATCAGGCCTTTGTAATCAGTTGGACTATTTGCATCAGTGAGGACTGCTTACAGGCATGAGGGTTGCAGGATGAAGCCCTGAGACAGCTGAAAGATAAACACTTGGAAAAGTGTTAACTGTGACTTTTTAAAGGTGTAGCACGACCAGCTGCTCACCATACTTCCCACCCTTATACAGTTGCACCTCATGTCCTCGTTTCCCTGAGCAGCTTTGCCATATGGAGGCATAATTCGGTACTAAGAAGCTTGTGGTATGACAGATTTTTTTAATAAAGTGTGGATAAAAATTGATATTTTTAAAATGAATTGGATTTTTTATTTAAATTAAAAACAGGATTTTTAAAAAATAAACTTTAAACTTGAAATAGGTTGTCAATGTAAAGGTCTACACTTATGATAATTTGTTAGTCATTTAAATTAAATACCAGAAATAATATGAAGCAGTACATATTTGCAGACAAGTTTTAAAGAAACCCCAGACCACTGAACTGGTGGAAGTCAATGGCTATGCACCTAGAACCAGAATTCTCTGAAGTGCTAAACCAGCTTTTACAACAAGGAGTCCTTGTGGCACCTTAGAGACTAACAAATTTATTTGGGCATAAGCTTTTGTGGGCTAAAACCCACTTCATCAGATGCATGGAGTGGAACATACAGTAGGGAGGTATAAATACACAGCATATGAAAAGATGGGAGTTGCCTTACCAAGTGGGGGGTCAGTGCTAATGAGCCAATTCAATTAAGGTGGAAGTGGGCTATTCTCAACAGTTGACAAGAAGAGGTGGAAATCACTTTTGTGGTGCTAATGAGGCCAATGTGAACAAGGTGGCCCATTTCAAACAGTTGACAAGAAGGTGTGAGTATCAGCAGGGGGAAATGAGTTTTTGTAGTAACCCATCCACTCCCAATCTTTATTCAGGCCTAATTTGATGGTGTCCAGTTTGCAAATTAATTTCAGTTCTGCAATTTCTCAAGTTTTTGTTGTTGAAGAATTACCACTTTTAAGTCTGTTGTTGAGTGTCCAGGGAGACTGAAGTGTTCTCCTACTGGTTTTTGAATGTTATAATTCCTGATGTCAGATTTGTGTCCATTTATTCTTTTGCGTAGAGACTGTCTGGTTTGGCCAATGTACATGGCAGAGGGGCATTGCTGGCACATGATGGCATATATCACATTGGTAGATGTGCGGCTGATGTGGTTAGGTTCTATGACTGTGTCCCTTGAATAGATATGCGGGCAGAGTTGGCACCGGGGTTTGTTGCAGCTTTTGACAGCTGTAGCCTCTTCTGAGGTGCAGAGAGAATATTTTCTTCTTTTCAGTTTATTCAACTAGTTCATATAAAATTAGGAAACCAATTGGAAGTTGAAAAAGAAGGAGCACTTGTTTTCCTCTTCCAATCTATGAATCAAAAACTAGCTGCAACAGGATGATATCTACTAGTTCTAAAATCTTGAAGGACATAGAGGCCAGAAATAATCATTTTGATTCACTAAGTGCAGAGAGTAATCATTTGTTTAATATATTAGTTAGTTTTAAGTGCAAAACATGTTTTGATAAACCTTTTTCTTATGTATCTTAAGGTGCTTCAATTAAAAATGCATAATAACAGAATTTTTATTAAATAAATATTAATCTAAAGAGAGCCTAACATAAATCACAAATAAATTAATCATCTAGTAAATAAGAAATGCATCATTAACCATATTCTAAAATAATAACTGTAAAAATCAAGAATTTGTATAAATGTAAATTAAGCTATATAATTGCTTAAATACATTTGTATAGATGTAGTGTCCTCCTGGTTAGCAAAAAGAAGCACCAAATTTAGTGTAAAGGCCATATTTAGTTGAAAATCAGTATGTTAATTGGTACTAACCAAGAAGAATCAACTTTTTTCTTTAGGAAAATAACTAAAATGTTCAAATGCAAAACATGATTAAAATCAGTTATTTAAATCCAGGTTTCCTGTTTGCTGATTTAAATCAATCCACCTGGCTTTAATGTTCAAGCTAATGCTTTTATCCATGGCATTTGTTTTATTGAAAAAATCCTATACAATAGATTTTAAAGAATTTGAAAAATAAACAATTTCTTTTGACTGTCAGTGTCAGATTAACATAAATGTGTTTAATTGTACTACCATTATCTCACAAAATAATGTGGACTCTTTTTTTTTTTCTATAGGGGAATTATATGAAGGCTTTGATGAGGAATATGAATGCCCAATTTTGGATGAAGACCGAGTGAGTCCAACTTAAAAATCTAGCATATTGAAGATGGGGGTGGGGTTAATTACAGTAAAAGCTGTGTTATCTGGCACTTTACCAGCTGGAAAACTCTTTAAACCGGCATTTCTGTTCTTCATTGAAAGTTTGGTTTATAGTCTGGTTGGTGTGGGGCCAGCAGGCTTCCTATCTGGCTTTGCGTGGTTCCCCGGAGGCAGCGACATGTCCCTGCTGCTCCTAGGCAGAGGAACGGCCACAAAGGGTTCGGAGTGTGGGAGGGGGTGCAGGGCGCGGGCTCTAGGAGCTGTGGGGGCGGTGCCTGCAGGGGGAGGCAGCGTGCAGAGCCACCTAGCCATGCCTCCACCTAGGAGCAGCAGGTACACATCGCTGCTTGCGGGGAGCTGCCTAAGGTGAGCGCCGCCCAGATCCAGCACCCCTGCCCCAAGGCCCCTCCCACACCCAAACTCGCTCCCAGAGCCCATGCCCTGCACCTCCTCCCAGGCCCCAACCCCCAGCCCCAAACTTCCTCCCTCTTAGTTAATCAGAATTTTTTACTTATCAGCAGTCCCTCATTTCCCCCAACTTTGTCAGATAACAAAGCTTTTACTGTACAAAGAAGCTGCATCTAGTTTTCTTGCGCCTTTGTCTGACTTTTCTGTAGGTAATTGATGAACTAGAAGACAAAATGAATGAAGGTGGAGTTATTGTTGATTATCATGGCTGTGACTTCTTCCCAGAACGCTGGTTTCATATAGTATTTGTACTTCGCACTGAAAACTCATTTCTGTACGACAGACTTGAAAGCAGGTAAATCAGTGGAGTAAATGAAGGTGAATTGTCATGCAGATTCACAGGAGCCTTTCAAGAGTATAAATTCAGGGTTTTGTATAAAATAAGGATATAAAGTCCTCTTATTTTTTTTTAAATGTGTGTGTGTTTTTTGTTTTTGTGTTTAGAGGGTACAAAGGGAAAAAACTACAGGACAACATTCAATGTGAGATTTTCCAGACTATTTATGAAGAGGCAATGTCATCTTATAAGGAAGAAATTGTACACCAGTTGCCTAGTAACACGCCAGAGGACCTGGAGCGGAATTTAGATCAGATTATACAGTGGATTGAGCAGTGGATGAAAGACAACAACTGAATTCTGAGGAAAAAGGAACATGTTGGACTTTTTTTTTTTTCCAGGTTATTCTGGCCATTCAATAAATGAAATTTGTAATTGTGGCATGGTAAACTAACCTTTTTTAGTCACTGAAGTGCAATTGAACAATGATAACTTTTTAATCTGAGAAAAACTGAGGAATTATAATAATGATTGATCATACTGATGAATCTGATATGGTTAAATTAAAATAATGCCAACCACTGAAGGATGGATTTTGTACTAAGAGGAGCTGGCATCTATATTATAAAATGGTTATAGAGGGAAATCAGGAGCACACAAAGGCTGTTCTTACATTAGAGAAAGCTCCAGGCTACAATGGAGTGAGTATATATTTGAAAGCTTATGTTCATGGTAGGTATGTGAAATGCATGACTTTTGTGAGCTGTTTTCAAATACTAAGATATTTTAAAACAGCAGAAGCTTCTTCATAGCAGCATATCATCAAATATTTCTCCCTAACGTAAACCATTGCTCATTTTATGTTGATTATTTTATTCACTTTGGGTGAATTTTAAAGTTTTTGTGAATGGAAAGTTTTAAAGAAGCAGCACTATATCATTTTGTGGAAAGGGGAATGTGAATTATTGTTTGAAGACAGATGTAAGTGACTACAGTGAAACCTGAACTTCAGTGCCTGTGGTCACCTGTCATAATGGCCAGTTAAATGTCAGTCCCTGCAAGAATCCCTCTTTATTAATTGTACTACATTATGCATCCAGCTGTTATTACAGCTACAATACTAGCAGGCTCCTTGCTCGTCATTATTTATAGGTTTCACTGTAACTGTTTGAGTTGCCTGGGTGCATGGAAATGATGTGATTGGACTCTGTTAACAAAGATCTGTGTGAAAGGATAGCGTTTAATTTGGATGGGTTTATCTTGTTTGTTCATGGTGGGTTGTGAGCTCTCTGAGCCAGATCCTGCAAGTTACATTCCCACTGAACACAATGGGAGTGTTGCTTGAATAAAGACTACAGAATCTTAGAGTAAGAAACTGCCAGAGTTGCTTAAACTTATCACCTGCTGGAAGAGGAAAAATGTCTTAAGTGGTTGTTCAGATTGATTTGAAGGACTATAATGCAAACAAGTTCTGTGTGTACTTCCATAAAGCAAATTTTGGCTTTTTTTTTTTTTTTTTTTTTTAATTTTTTTTTGTTAATTTTTTTTTTTTATTTAAAAATTTTATTTTATTAATTTAAAAAAGTATATTTTTGTTTTTTTTTTTTTTTTTTTTGGTAAAGTATTTTTGGTAAAGTATTTTTCTGAACATGAAAATTAAAGTACATTAATATAAAAAGTGTTAATTGGTCTATTTTACTTGTATTAGATTTGTGGAATGTAACATCTAGAACTATAGTCTCAGGAAAAGAATGGGTTGGTACAGACATGTAACTTGTATACCTCTACATCTAGTTTAGCCTTTTATCTTCTGTGCAAACATCACTAACCATTAATAGCTCATTGACTATTTTGAACTCAGTGGGATGCTCCATCAATGTCTCCTGCCTTATAAGAATTGTCATAGGACATCAGGCCAGTGGTTCACCCAGTGTTGAATCCAGTGTCTGAAAGGGGCCAGCTCCAGATGCATTAGAAGTTATAAGAAGCCATATTTAAAATAGTCAGTTAGGGAATCCACTCTGCAGGGGGAACTTTTAACCCCTTTTCGGCTCTGAGCTGAAGTATCAGCAATTGCATATACCCCATCTCTGTGTATAAAGCTCATCGTCTCTTCTACAGCACAGAAGGTAATAAATGCTAATGTAAGCAGGGGAATGGTCTCGGGATTGTGGGGAACTTTCCTGGCTTCTGCACTACCCTAGTGAAAGGATCTGAGTCCTCACTCCCACTTCCTTTACCCAGAGGCCTCCCTGCCCTTCCACTCTCCTGTCTGGCAGAGTCCTCATAACCCGGACAAGGCTGGGCCCAGGATTCCTGGGGGGGCTCAACCCCCAACCCTGCTGTGGTCACCTAGGACAGGGTCTAGGGTGTCCTCACTCTGGGGTACTCTCTCTGAACTGGGCACCTCCCTGACCCACTGATCATTTCATACAATTTAAAGCAAATACAAGTTGTTTAATTAACAATTTAAAAAAAAATAAGGAAAAAAATGGGAAAAGTTAAAGGAAAACACATTACCCTGCTCGGTGGCAGGGAACATTACAAACAGTGTCTCTGGACATCAGGGCACTTTACAGTCTGTTCCTTGTAGGTCCCAGGTCTCCTTCTCAGGCCCTGGCTGTGCTGCAGGGATGCTGTGGGTTGGACACTTGCATGGGTGGTGGCCACATACCTCCGGGCTTTGGGTGGTAGGACCCTTCCCCACATCAGCCCCCTCGTCAGGTTAAGATCCCCCTCCCAGTCTGGCCTGCAAGGACCCTTGGCTGGGGGTATCTTTCTGCGCTGGGCCCTGTGCCAGCCCCAGTTGCTCACCAACCTGGCTCTGGGGCTGCAGCTCTGCTCCCAGCACAGGATATGCTCTCTCCCTGGGCTGCTTCTGTGACTCTGCTCCCAACTCTGCTTTTCTGGCCCCTCTGGATCTGGCACGGCTCTGCTCCCCAGCTCAGCCTCCTGCTTTCTCCTTAGCTCGGCCCCACTCTGTCTGACCCAGGCAATTCCAGCTCACACAGAGGACAGGACCCCATTGGCCTCCTGATTTCCTGTTTAACCTGCCTGCCCTGTCAATCAGGCTCAGAGGCTGAGGCTGACCTGGAGCATTAGCCTCTCCCCATTCTTTTAGGGCTGGGAGCTAGCCAACCAAAACACCCCCACTGAATGTTAGTAAGGGGACAACAGTCCCCTTACCAGGGGCGGCACCAGTGCACCAAGCACGTGCGGGGGGTGGCCTGCAAGTTGGCATGAGGGCGGCAGTCAGGCTGCCTTCGGCGGCATGCCTGCAGGAGGTCCGCCGGTCCCACGGTTTCTGCAGCAATTCGGTGGCGGGTACGCCAAAGGCGCAGGACCGGTGGACCTCCCGCAGGCATGCCGCCGAATCCGCAGCGGACCTCCCGCAGGCGCACTGCTGAAAGCCACCTGACTGCCGTGCTTGGGGCAGCAAAATACATAGAGCCAGCCCTGCCCCTTACATTAAGAGGGCAGTTGGGTGCCAGGCTGAGCTCTGCCCATGCACTCACTGCCACCTGGCTGCTTTCTGCCTGTGGGCTCACCCAGGGCTAGGGGGCGGGGTGGGAAGCATCACGACCTGCCCTCCCCCGGTGCTTTCTCTCTCCCGCCCTGCCCCACTCCTACTCTGGCTGAGGCCCCACACGGAAAGCTAGTAACGCACCCACGCAGCGCGCCGGCTGGGGGGCGGCCCTAACTGATGCCCTGCCCCCGAGGGAGGGACCGCGCTGCAGGTACTCGCAGGCGGGGGACGAGGAAACGCGGGCGGCTGCGGAGCCTACAGACCCAGGTTCGTGGGCCGCGGGGTGGTCGCAGCCTCCCGGTGGCTGCTGACGGGCCTGTCCCGACGGGTGCGGGGAGCTCTGCGGAGTTTCCCGCCGCCGGGCTCGGACGGGCCCTCGCATCCTGGCTGGAAGGGGCAGCAGCGGCGCCGCCTGGGGCGGTTCCCCCGGGCTGGGAATGCAGCACACGGGAGCCTGCGAGGGGTGCGGCTGGGCTGCAGGGTTGGGCGCTCCAGGGAGGCTGCTGAGGGGAAAGATTGGGGAACTGGGGACAGGAGGAGGAAGGCCAGAGGTCTTGTTGGGGGTGGGGTGCAGGCGGGTGGGTTTGGTAATAAAACAAGGTTTGCACAACTTGAAGCAGCAATACTCACTGGGTGCTGTGGGTAGAGTGTGTACGCGCACAGGGTTCAGGTGCTGCCAGGCGCTCTGGGGTCAGGGCTGATGGGTAGCCTAGGGGGATGCTGCAGAGCTTGAGTGCGGGGACTGCGTTCTGTACATAGGTGTAATTTCTTTCCTCACCTAGGAGAAATCACACGTGTGCACAGGGGAGAGCAAACGGTTTGATTTCTTGAGTGTTAGTTAATGGCATCGCCCACTTCCTGGAATTAGGTGCTTCATCACTAGAGCCATCTACTTTTTTCACTCCTGCATGTTGACCAGAATACCTTTTTGGCCCTGACTTTCAATATCTTACTACTATTCAAAAGTGTCCTGCAAAAGGAGAAACATTGGTCTTGTAATCCTTTTTTTGGTGTTAGGATGTATAAAGAAGACTTGAAAAGGTTAACAGTTGTCTATATTTTAAAATTAGAAATTCGGGACCTGTTTAGACTGGAAGACTCTCTCTCCTTGTAGCTAGCTGGATTTTTTTTTATACCTGTGGTTTCCCTCAGGAGCAGCAGAGAAAGCAGTAGTGTAGACAAAGTTTAGGTAGGCTTAGACATTAAAAATGGGCTTACTGTAAAAATGCCTGAGCCTTGTCTATGCTGTAGCCTCCATCCATTCCACTGGTGATGGAGCTACACAGCTAGGATTTTTCAGACCTTTAATTCCCAATGTAAACAAAGGCATATAGTCCTTTAGGCTAGACATGACTTGAATTTTTAGTGTAAAAACAGGCAGAGGAAAAAGAATTTTAAAAAATGCCTTTTGACCTTTATAAATTATAAAGTGCAAAAAAGTGCACACACCTGGTTTAAAAAAAATCTTTAGTTGTCTGTGGACCTCTTGTGAAACTTCCTACAGCACATAAGCACTAACTGAACAGTAACTGGCTACAACTGACTTACAATGACCTGAGAGCTTTAATATTTTTATTCAGTCTGATAGTAGAAAAATGAGCTATCATGTTCTTAACATAGCTGCTTAAATACAGAGGGCTGCTTACGGATGGCTCTCAGAGGTTGTTTTTACATTCTAAATAAGCCTCTTTCACAATAGGTATAAATCATGGTTTGTAACCAACTAAAGTATTCAATTGTGATTACTGGGCAGTTTCAGCTCTGTGATACATGCTGTACTGGATCTCATCACAGCACTGTCACAACAGTTTATTCACTGTGGTATTTCTAATGTGCCCTTCACCATAATGTCTAAGTATCATTTTATCTTTCTAGGTGTCCTTGTGTAAAGAGTAGGAATTTACCCTATATAGTGTATCTGTTCTAGTCTTATAAATTTGAGTCTAATAAGTAACTGATTAGACACAGACTTTGCTGATTATCCTCTTTCAAACAGCCAGGTGTATGTTGAGTGTTTCTTTTTCAACACATAGATGAGTTTCTAAGCAGCGTGGTGCAATTTTAAACTTTACATATTTGTTCAGTGGGCCACTCAACTAACATTACTGAAAAAAATAATCCATTAGTCTGTCAAAAAATTACTGTGAATATAAATTTAATTAGGTTTGCTAATGAATAAACATTTGAGTCAATATTCATACACTATCCAGTATGCACACTATCCAGTAGGCTGTCCATCTGAATTATTGATTCTAGAGCAGTGGTTCTCAAAGTTCATTGCACCATGACCCACTTCTAATAACAAAAATTATTACATGACCCCAGGAGTAGGGACCAAAGCCTGAGCCCGCCCAAGCCCTGCTATCCCAGGTGGGGGTCCAAAGACAGAGCCCAAGCCCTGCCAAACCAGGCAGGCGGGCCAAAACTGAAGCAGAGCTCAGGCTTCAGCTTTGGTCCTGGGCGGTAGGACTCAGACTTTGACTTCGGCCCTGGGCCCCAGCAAGTCTTAACGCCGGCCCTGGCAATCCCATTGAAACGGGGTTGCGACCCACTTTGGGGTTCCAACCCACAGTTTGAGAACTGCTGTTCTAGAGTACCTGTTTTGGTCTGTGTTGCTATTTTCTGCTCACAAGGAAGGATGAAGCTCTGCACTACCAGTATACCTGGAGGCAGAATTTGGCCTTTGATTTTCTTGCCTTGCAGTCTCAGCATGATCTTCTGTGTTTCCTGGCTTCAGGATGCTCTGTTTCAGCTGGGAGGAATTCAAAATATATTTAAAATGTGACTGGAGTTTACACACTTTTGTTAATTACAATAATCCAGGACTATCTATCACTGTGTTTCTTCTATGAGAGAAGATAAGGAGACAGGGTTGAAAGGAAGAATTGAGTTTGTAAACCAAATAAGTAGCAGCAGTTGAGTTTGGAAGCTTGGAGATAAATTGTTTTTCGATTCTTAATTTCTAGTGCTAGACATCATGGCGA